TAAATAAGTAGTATGAATAAAATCCGTTGAAATCACCTGATAAAATAAATTTGACCAAGTAGAAAGAAATGAACACAAGCAAGAACTTAAGGCTCATGACGTTTACACGAGTACTTTATTAAAACAAGTGACGGAGTACCAGATATTTACGACCTACGTAGGCTGTCTTCAAGTGGATTTTATTCTCCTAGTAAGCTGTTGAGCTGGATATATACCTATTTATCTAGAAAAATTGTCCCCTTTATTTGATATTTTCCTTTCTCTCAATGGAACCCTACCTGTAGAATGTCTGTATATTTAATGAGTTTTCGGTAACACGATCGATAAGATTACATTAAGCTTTGTGAAAGAATTATAAGCTCAAGAGCTTAGGAAGCTACTCTTCTATGAGAAGCAACTCAAAAATCAAACAACTGCTGCCTTTTAGTTTACCTTGGTTTGGCAAAACTATGGGATCAAATCCAAAAATAAAAGCAGGCTGAAATCGGAGTCAACGGCCTTTGTGGCGCATAACAAGTTGACATTAATACATATTTATTAAAAGTTAAGAACAAAGAAGAAGAAAATCACTTCCATCATAGTTTCAACACTTTCTCAATTCTAATTTTTTGTGTTTATAAATCTAGATCTGCAATCGACTGATTTGGTTTCAAAGTAGTATTGTAGTATTAAAAGTTATCGACCTGATTAATGAAGATAGACATGAATTGAGTTATGTTTGTTTCTGTTTCCATAAACTTCACAGCAGCTACCAATTTATTTTATTCATTTTGTTTACTATGCATACAATGTTTTCCTTGTCTTGTAATCTACATATGTGTGTTACATACATAGTTAACTTAGTTCAATGTTTATTACGATTTGCATAACATTAGATGCAAAGTTATTTTATGAATGAAAAGAGTAAAATTTAATGTGGCTGTTTTTTTTTTAAACTTTTACATGCATGTACCATTACATTATTTTACACTGATACTATGACAAAAACTTATTCCTTTGGTTAAAGTTGTTTTATTTAGGACTATGCAGATTATTAATTATACATCAATTTCAACTTGTGTACTAAGGTTATTTATGTATTGAATACAATTTTCTTAAAACAACTAGGTAGTGACAGATGTGTGGTCAGCTACATGTGTAGTGACAGATGTGTGGTCAGCTACATGTGTAGTGATAGATGTCAGCTACATGTGAAGTGACAGATGTGTGGTCAGCTACATGTGTAGTGACAGATGTGTGGTCAGCTACATGTGTAGTGACAGATGTGTGGTCAGCTACATGTGTAGTGACAGATGTGTGGTCAGCTACATGTGTAGTGATAGATGTCAGCTACATGTGAAGTGACAGATGTGTGGTCAGCTACATGTGTAGTGACAGATGTGTGGTCAGCTACATGTGTAGTGACAGATGTGTGGTCAGCAACATGTGTAGTGTTAGATGTCAGCTACATGTGTAGTGACAGATGTGTGGTCAGCTACATGTGTAGTGACATAATGTGTGGTCAGCTACCTGTATAGTGACATAATGTGTGGTCAGCTACATGTGTAGTGACAGATGTTTGGTCAGATACCTGTGTAGTGACAGATGTAGTGACAGATGTTTGGTCAGCTACCTGTGTAGTGACAGGTGTGTGGTCAGCTACAAGTGTAGTGACAGATGTGTTTTATATGTGTCGGAAAAACGGATACTTTGTTCATTAAAACCAGTCACATAACAGACTTGTAACGATTACTAACACCCAAAATTACCATGCTTATCCACGTCATTATGTTAACACCTTAATTAGTATACGGTCCCAGCTTTTTAAAAGGCTAATCAATAAACCTCATCAGCTAGTTTTGTGCAAAGTACTCTTTCGTTTTACCGTCACGTTCAAAAGTGAACACATTAACTTAAAACTAATGCCTTGGTATGTGGTACGTGTTTTTTTTTTTTTTTTTTTTTAAATTTAGTCACTTTGTAAGTAAAGAGTAGTCTTGCATGGACTGTACTACAACTACTTTTTTTAGCTCCTACAAACCATTTTTTAATGATCTCTCATACACGTTATATTTATCTTTTATAATGCTAATATCTGTATTATATAACATATTATAAGACAATTTTAGAAATAACAAATCTCATTCAATACGAACTGCCTTTACATTCCCCGGTACAATTTTAATAACCAGATCAACTATTTAGCGATTAAACACTATTTACATTTCTGAATTTTGACAAAGTAGGATTGTATTCTCACATATTTAATTACGGCATTAAAAGAAAACAAACCAAATACATCCAAAACCGTACACAAAGAAACGGTGAGTAGATACTGTTAAACAATTGGTGGATGAAATGAAGGTAAAGAAGAATTTATGTTAATTCACCGCAAGCATCATTTAGCTCACGATAATTAGTTGACGCTGACGCGTTGGAATAGTACAAGCTTTTTCACGTTGTTTGTTAACTAAATTAATGTTACAAGTGGATACAAAGCTGTTTGATTTTGTAGTTTTAGGAACCCTTTCCTAGGTTATGCGATAATTATGCGATACTGCTGGCTTAGAAGTATTTTCATATTCGTGTGCTCCTTTATTACATGAATAGAAATATATAAATTTCCCTTTATCGAACCTAACGGATCATGGAGCAAGTGAAGTAGAGCTACTTTTTTTCTGTGACCTCGGCTTATGACGGGATAATGTGGTCAGCACTATGCCCAGCTGCCTTTACTTTCCCTAATATGAGTTAGGTACCCATCAGAGTTGGATTGAGTAAGGGGTGTTCTACTGACTTGAACCCGGATTCGAACACGAGACTTTCGGTTTAGCAGTCTAGTGCTCTATTGCTAAGCCATGCCTTCCCATAATATATAGTGTAAATAAAAAGATAATTAGAATGAATGATTGAGTTTGATATATAGGTCTACGTGGAACGGTGTGGTCGAATGGAAGAGTTCGCGACTCCAAAATCAAAAGTCTCTAGTTCAAGACTGAGTGTACTCAGCTCTGATTAGTACCTGACTCACGTTAAGGAAAAAAGTCGCCTAGGCAAGATGGAAACCATACCATGTGCCGAGCTAATTGAAACAGACGAACTCTACTTCATGAGTCCCGTGTGTCTTGGACACGAACTACAAAGGATGATTATATGCGCCTAAACGTTCGTGTGAGTTTATGCGCGTGTGTGTGTGTAAGTGTGTGTGTGAGTGTGCGTGTGCCTTTGTGTGTGTGTGTGTGTGCGCGTGTGTGTTTGGGCGTGCGAGCGTGTGTGTGTGTGTGTGCGTATGTGTGTGTGTGTGCGTGCCTGCGTGTGTTAACTCGTGTGTGTGTGTCTGTTTGTGTGTGTCTGTGTCTGTGTGTGTGTCTGTATGTGTAAACATAGCAAACTACAAAAGTGTTCGGTTTTACCTCAATAGTCCGCTAAGCTTCGTCGCACAGATGGGACGGCCTGGCATAGGCGGTAGAGTTCCAATCGGGGTTCAAGTCAGCAGAACGTAAAGTAATGGCGGCTGGGAAAAGTACTGACCCCTTCCCTTCATATGCCTAGGTAACGAACCAGGAACTCTACTTCATCTGTCCAATGAATTGCTAGGTTTAAAGAGGATTCTTTAGATTTTTTTTCTTCGCCGTTCATCGTATAGGTCGGCAGCTGTAGGTATCACCAGCAAGGTGACTCAATTAATTGCGACGACTGCAGTTTTAATTAAGTTTTAACTTTTAAATTTGACATGCACTTTAACACGGCAGTTTTAATCAATAACATAGTTTAATCTTTTTTTTAAATAACACGGATTGACCTACATCGTCACGTGATTACATAAATGTCGTTACCTCGTGGCTAATTAAAAATTCTCACTGGGATCCGCAGATTAAGAAAAACACGCATGATCTGTTTACGCGATACAAAAATCAAACCTATACGATATTAATGAAGATATAATACATTAGAAAGTTTCATCAAATATGATACATTAGCCATTTTCATCTTTAAATAATAAATACCTCAATAATTGTGTACATTTATTAATATTAATGAACAAGAACACGAAAGAATATTGTTAATTCAGTATAGTTTTTAGTTCAGAAATAAACATTGGTTTAGCCATATATCCGAATGTAAAGATATCTTCTCCTAAGAACCAGACTGTTCTAACTCCAATATTGTTTTCGAGGTGTATACACAGTTGTGTTCTAAATCTACCAAGGCACCAAGACGAAAATTTGAAGGGCCATATCTCTTACCCTTATTACAAAACAATTTAATTTCACCAAGTCCTTAATCTATATATATAATTCTCTTCTGGGAGACGCTAGAAAACAAGCTGTAAACGCTCTCCCTACCATCCCCACCCCTACATGGTCTTAGTTAGCTGTGTTCACTCTAAATGTTTACAAGCAGAGCCGGGTTTAGTGACGACTATTAGGGGCAGATAATTTAGTTTGAAACGATTTTAAATGTAGGGGGGGTTATGGTCCTTAACGTGCTACTTATAGTGTTTTAAAGAAATATTTTCAGTGGCAGCATTGGTACCGTCGAATTCACAAATTATGAATTACTGAAAAGTAGAAAAAACAACAACTAAATAGCGGCGTATGTTATGCCGCGGGCCGGCTCGTATAGAAATATTAAGAAAACCAAATATGTAAGCATTGTAGTGAATACGTTTGAAAAATAGAGTTAGAACAGTCTGTTCTAGGGAAGCGATGTCTAATGGAAATTCAAATAAATGCATTCATATGTTGTTATGTATATTTTATAAAAAAAACGTTAAAACATATTGCACTTTATATTTTCTAACTTTTTAATTAAATAATTTAATCCCTACCGCAACTTTGTTAAGTGAAATGAGCTGAATAGGCCGCTAAAGTATAATGTCTACTGTCTACATTCCTAAGAGTATTTACATAACAGCTGTTTAGAGGCGGCAGGTGATGGTACCGATGATTAATCCGGCAGATGAAACAAAAAATTAGCATTCAATTGTGAATAAAAGATCTCACCTTTCGTGATGATTCTACAGATATCTGACGTGTCGAGGTGGCATTGGCAGTGAATACGTTAGAACGTCCGTGAGTAATAGCATGTGCTTATATTATTATTTTCTGTTGTAGTTAAAACCTGATTTTGGTATTTAGTTTACCTTTTTTTGTTGTTGTTGCTTACGTTTTTAGATTCTCATATACGGAGTAGGTCCTCTAGAGGACATATTGTAATTGATAAAGTAATAATATTCCGTACTATTATACACACATTGCTGTTCACTTGGTGCGCAATTGTTTTTTCTATGAGATTCTATTCTATTTTTAAAAGTTTAAGTAATTAAAAATGGATTAAAATCATGCCTATATCCCGAGTTGTCATGAACCGTAGTTTTATATAAGAATATTCGAGAGAAAGTTTAGGGGAGATTACTCCCGCTTTATTTATGTACTTTTTAAAGCCACAATGTTTTAAGTCGCAAATAATAACTCGCGCGACTTCGTTGTTGGGTGGTAGTGTGAACGACTGCTAGCCAGGAAGTATCGGGTTCGGATCCATGATTTTAGTCCGTTAAACGTCCCAGCGTTAACTCAGCAAAGATATTTGCTTAACTTACGCTAGTGAAAGTATACTCGGTAGGGCATTTTGCTGACTGCTATCCCTTCATATGTGAACAGCACTGTAAAGGTGAACTCTACTTCATATACCGGATGGTTCGTCTGGTCCGAAAGCGTAACTAATTAAAAGGTAATTCCAGAAATATTCTGATAAAGAAATTTCACAATCAATTAAAAAGTTGTATATAGCTAAAACGTGTCAGGTTCTTTTGATTTATCATATTGCCTGCTCCGGATGAATTTCAATATATTTTATTTGTTTCGAAATCTGACATTACAATAGTAAAAATTAACACAAAAAAAATTAAATAAATTCTGAATTTTATTTACTATGAAATGGAAAACGCAAGACTTATACGCTGGCGTAAGCCTGAATGTAGACAAATATAAATTGAAAATATTCCCAAAAACAAAAAAAGTTACACCAAAGAATATGATTTGAATACAATGCAGTAAAAATATAAATACTCTCTTGTTATTTTAAAATTATTCCCAACAAATAAAATTACATTGAATGATATGATTTGAATATAATGCCATAACGTATAAATACCTAGTTTGTATTTTTAAAATATTCCCAACAAAAAAAAACCAAAAACAAAAAACAAAACAAAAACTTACTAAATGAAACATTTGAATACAATGCCATAACAATATAAATACCTTGTTTGTTGCAGAGCATGAAGTTTCTCCTAGTAATTCTGCTACTCTCAGCCTACTGTTTAGCTACGGCCATGGCAGAAGTAACGTGTAACTGGAATGGCCGTGTACGTCATTAATTCTACACCTTTTTAATCCATTTTGTATTTTAGTCTGTTCCCATATTTTGTCAAAACAAAAAACCATATATGGTATTTTTTTAAAAACGTGCACATATACTTGATACAATTAACATTAAATTTAAAAACAAAACTGAATGAAATTTATTAGCTTACTAAGAAATATGAGCCTACATTTTAAAAAAGTACATACCCTGATGACAAATTTCCTAAAGTAAACATATTTTTTCAATAAGCCTACTTAAATTAGCTTTTTTAAATATACAAAAAATAATTGTTTTTTTTTTAGAAATTAAACATGCAGTTTTACCTGATGCATTTGTAATGTTTGATATCCACTGCAGGTGTTGAAGCAATCAGAAACAGTGAGCCCACAGGACTGTGTCGAGTGCTACTGTACTCTATGGGGCTACATGAGCTGTTCACAGATGTGTTGAGACCACATGAAAATCTACACATAACCTTTCTTAAACACATGAAAATTCACACATGTTTTCTTAAACACATGAAAATCTACACACGTTTCCTAAAGTCATCAATGCTGAGTTGAAAGTTTCGAACTTACAGTCTAATAAACAAACGATTAGCTTTCTCAAAAGTTGTTTATTTTTATTTTACAAATACAGTTTATAAATCTATTAAAAAGTTTATGCTATTCACTTAAATATAAAAAAAAAACCTATTACAACCTACTATTTAGATATCACTGCCGTCTGGTGCTAGAGCGATGTCTTGGCTTGACAGCTTGTTTACCCTGAAGACCCCCACAGCTATTCCAGTGGGAGTGTAAACTACTGGCATGACCCCCCCCCCAGAACTATACCAGTGGGAGTGTAAACTCCTGGCATGACACCCCCCCCCCCAGAACTGAACAAGCGGGAGTGAATCTCTTGGCATGACCCCCCACCCCAGAACTATACCAGCGGGATTGTAAACACCTTGCAGGTTCAACCAAGCTGAGAAGATCAGCGTGGGTAGGGGTCAGACAAAAGCTATCACCCTGGTCCTCCAGGCTGGGGGGTTAAACATAAGGCCAGCAACCTTGTTTTCGTAAAAACAAAACTCACTACAGAAACTAAGCACAAAGCAATAAGCAGTGGCGGCCATGCAAATACATGGCCGTCGAAGAAAGTCTCCAAGGCAAATGCAGAATTTACAAAAGTAATATCCTTAGCGCCCTACTGTATTGCAGCTATTGTTGGAAAGTAATATCCGTAAACAGCTGATGACTGGGTTCTTTCCGAACTATGTGCCTGTAAAGGAGAAAAGGCATACACTGGCCTAAACCTTTCTCTAATGATATATTACAAAAAGAACCGGAGATGGAAACCGTCTCCAATATAATCGATAAAGATGGCACTGGATTGGGCACGTTGGATGAATCCAGATGATATCATAGAAATGGCGCTATACTAGACGCCTCAAGGAAAAAGAAAACAGGGAATGCCAAGAGAGACATGGAGGCGCACAGCAGAAAATTTAACTGATACAGGTTTTATAATTTGTCTCAAATATGATGTTTTTAAAGAGGCCTTTGTCATTAAAGTTAACACGATCCTTTTTTTAAAATCACTTATAAGTAAATGGAAGAAAACACTAAAATCATATCAAAAATATTTTTTATATCTCTTTATTTGAATTATTGTAATTCTAACACATCAGTTTGAAAAATTAAAATACTATTTAATATTAACACAAGCTTTAAATTACATTATTCCTTTTCCAGTTGAAAATAGAAAAATCAGGTTTTTTTTTTTGTTTTTTTTTTTTTACATTTAACATAGTCAAACAATTTGTTTCGATTTGAAAAATTTAAATCTATAATACTATGGCCTATGATGGTAGTTTGTGTGTGTGTGATGGGGGAATGGACTAATCCATAATACATTTACATTTATTTGCTAAAATACTGTAAAAATAGATTCTGTATTTTGTGTTGAGCTTCATGTAAATACAAAAGTTCCCCACAGTGATGAAGGTGGAGATGAAGATAGCGATTTCCCACATGAGGAAGTTCACGTTCTGGTATGTGTCAGTGTGTAGATCATCGACCACGTAGTACACGACACAGGCAATTGACCTGGGGATGTTACAGCAAATCATCAGAACCGACAGCATCAGGACAACCTTGACAAGTTTTCTTTCAGAAACTGTCAAGTTTGATCTTGTCAATTGCGATGTCGCTGTTCTGTTTTTGACATCGCCTGATAGTAAGGAAACTTGTGTTTGTTTATTTGGACGTACGTTTGTGCTTCTCTGTAGACCGTACGCCATCAAAACTGAACAAACCAACAGCACGATTTGGCAAAAGATATACGTGACGATCCCCCCAAAAATGTATTCAATGAACCCCCAAACTAAATTCTCAGCCTCGTTAGAATATACAAGAGTCCATTGACGTTTTGAACTAAACGACAAATTTCCTTCAAAGATTGGTTCAAGCCTTAACCCATACAACATATGCAAGTTAGTTGCTATAGCGACGAAGTAAATAAACGACATGACAATGACCGAACGTAACGTGGTAAAAATTTGTCTGACTTTGAATGGTAGCAGCACACAGACGCATCTTTCAATAGATATGAAAGCTGTCACCCAACAAGACACGAAGTACATGATACACTCTATATCTCCGATCACAAACAGACTGAAATCTCGGAGACTGAACTCCAGATCCAGCTGAAACTGCTCAGCCACTTGACAACAGGAGCTCAACAACTGCAACAGACTGAAAAGTAGATCGGTGAAAGAGAGAACGAAAACAGCGACGTTCATGCTGTTGTTGAGGCCGAGTTTTAAGAAGATCACGACGTTGAACGTGTTGGTGACGACCCCGCCTATAGACAGTATCCCCTGGAGTAGACCTGAGATCACCACCTGTATCAGCCTCAGTGTGCTGTCTGAGATAAGAAACTCTCGTGTCACAGGTACAACACTGAAGCTGTTCTCTGACTCCACTATTTGGGGAATGCTGGTGTTCATCATGAAGAAAATGTTGACGACCAATTTCACTGAAACAAAATTTTTAGAGAATTATTTAAAATTTTATTGATTTTTCTTTTCTTATTGAAAAGTTTATTTTTTTTTTTAAATTAGTTTGATGGTTTTTAGGTTCTTTGTTATATTTTTTTTAAACTTGGCTTTTCAATTTACTATTTTAAACTTTAAAAAAAAACATTTTTTTACTTATATTTTTCTTAAAAGAAAAGAATATAAAAAATTATTACCTTTCATTTCAGTAAAACAACATTTGATTTCATTCAGTTGGCTAACTTTGAAGCTAGTCTTTGAAATAATTTCAAACACGCGAAAACGTAATTGTCGTGAATAGAATTACAAAGCTCTGTTGTTTATTGAAAAATGTGTTTCGTATTACAAGTTTATGTTTTGATGTTTTATTGTTTACTTATGCATAAAAAATCTTATGATTATCGATCTTTTTATTCTCGCAAATTAAACCATTTATGGAAGTAATGCCTCTAATGAATGTTTTTCTAAAACAAAATTAACGACTAAGTCTAACATTGTATTAGTGAGGTCTAGAGACGTTACGGTAAAGTGTAATTACTGTCATTAGGTACACCACGTATGTTGTAGACTGGTGAACATCGAATTAACATTGACTTACATTTTTTTCCTAATCTAAGGCTGTGTAACTAAAGCGACCGTCAGATTTATAACTCCGCACGTTAAATTGTTTGACGTCTGCAATCTATGAGCGGGTAGGTACCACGTCTGTGTAATTTTAGTCCTAATTTGTCATGTGGTAGATTATTATTGAAAGATAATTTATTCCCCTTTGTATCTTCAAGCTTTTATTTAGCGTTTGGTAAATTTATTACATCGCCAGTGCATACAAGTTTGTAGTGGAATTGTATTCGTAGACAATTTATGTAGTTGTATGAGTATACAGTTAGTAGTTTTGTGTGCTAGTCTAGTGTTGGTAGATGTGTGTGTGAGAGAGTCTAGTGTGTGTAGTTTTGTTTGAGGGTCTAGTGTGGGTAGTTGTGTATGAGAGTCTAGTATGGGTAGTTGTGTGTGGGTCTAGTGTGGGTAGTTGTGTGAGGGTCAGTGTGTGTAGTTGAGTGTGTGAGTCTAGTGTGGGTAGTTGTGTGTGGGTCTAGTGTGGGTAGTTGTGTGAGGGTCAAAGTGTGTAGTTGTGTGTGTGGGTCTAGTGTGGGAAGTTGTGTGTGCTAGTCTGATGTGGGTAGTTGTATTGTGTGGAAGTTGTGTGAGAGTCTAGTGTTTGTAGTTTTGTGTGAGAGTAGTGTGTGGGTAGTTGTGTGTGTCAGGTGTGGGTAGTTGTTTGTGTGAGTCTAGTGTGGGTAGCTGTGAGTGTGAGTCTAGTGTGGGTAGTTGTGTGAGAATCTATTGTGGTTAGTTGTGTGTGAGTCTAGTGTGGTTAGATGTGTGTGTGAGACTAGAGAAAAAAAATTTTTGTGACTTTACATTCGTTACAATTGTTAGCGCGCCTAGACTGTGCATTTTTAGTGTGAGTTGCCAATACATATACTAAATTATGAAATCTCATTGCTGTTCTTCTTTTATAACCATTCTTTTGAGACATATAATATGAGTAATTGTGTGGTATCAAACGATTTAAGTCAGTGACAGTGTGCAAACGAAAGATCCGTCATCAATGTTCAGACCACCAGATCAAAGATAATTTGATTAATGTGAAGTAATTAGTATTATATTATTTTTTTAATGACTATAACAAGACTATACTCTAACTAATGGTTAAAGCTATAACATATAATAAAAAGTATAATAAAAAACTTCCACATGTCTGCAATTATTGATAAAATGAAACAGAGTGTTTAAAATACCTTCTAAATCTACTATAGGTCTTCCTGTTTAATTTAGGTTTTAAAGTTTTTAGATGTGCTGCCATTTTTTTATTTCCTGGCAGTTAGTATTAGTTTCGAAATTGCTCTATGATAAGGTATACCTTTAGCACCTTTTTGCATGTTTCGTTATATGTAGGTACAGGTTACTTGTCAGATCCAGTGAAACGTTTAGTTTAGTGATTATATTTTTGAAGTTTGTTTTAACGTATAAGTTTAGTTCAAGGTTAATTACAGTTGTTATGTTTTAAAACCATTCGGCTAGCTTGAAGTTCGGATCTTTGTCCAGATTTGGTACTGTAGGACGTCCTTGAGTCCACTCAGCTTCGATGGATACCTGACATACGTTGGAGAACGTAAAGGTGGCTGGGCATAACGTAGGCCACACCATTCCTTTATATGCCTAGGTCAAGAAACATTAGTTTTACTTAATCTTCCTTATGGATCTTTTGTTCTTTACTTATGTATAACTTTAGTAAATTTTGTTGTTTTTATTGCAATATTTCTCTGCACTTTAATTATAGTGCAGATAAAATTGCATAACTTGTCAACGTTATTTTAGTTTTTAAAACAAAATTAAAAATAAAACAACAAAAATAAATTAAAAAATATTGTATTCATACATATATTATGCCCCCCCCCCTAAACAATAATATGTTTAGTTTTTTCATTTCCGGTTGGGTTATTAGTTATGATATCAATCTTATAAGCGATCAGTCTATCTGTGATATTTAAATATATG